ACCCATATACTCGCCGCGGCGCCGCGGCCGTTCACCTCGTTTTATATCATAGTATGCGCCTGCGCGAGAGCAAGTGTCAGCATCATACGAGTGCGAATTTTGAGTCAAGCGTCACGACTTTAAACAGTTATAATTCACGAATGAGTTGACATAGCGATATTAAATAAAAATCAAAACACCTCATGTAATTATCTAAAGAAATATGCTATTTTCATTCCAGCTGATAAATTTGCGTTTCATAGCGAATGCGTTTCAGTTGTGTGATAGCCAACTTTGAGGAATAACAATTAGACTTTCAGCAAAGTTCGAATCAGTCACCGAGATTTAGTAGATATTGCCAAGCAGAATTGCGAGTAATTAATTACTTTTTCAATTAATTATCGGATTTAATTGACAATTAATATAAGCCTATTCAATTAAAAATATTTTAATTAACCACTAACATCAAGAAATCTAATTAAAAATCATTCAATTGACGATTGATTTAAAGGAGTTCAATTAAAAACTGTCGAATTAACAATTAAAATGAGTGAAATTAATTAAAGATTATTCGATTAACGATTAAACATAGTCAATGTAATTAAGGATTATTTAATTGACAATTAATAAGAGCAATATATATATATATATATATATATATATATATATATATATATATATATATACACAATAAGCATATATTCAGCTCGGTTGGTTACCATGAGCAATGTAAATAACTACGGTTACAATTTCAATTGACATCAATTGGTTAATCGTCTTACTGCGATTAAATTTGCTTATATTAATTGTCAATTAAATAACCCTTAATTACATTAACTATGTTTAATCGTTAATCGAATAATCTTTAATTACTTTCGTTTATTTTAATCGTTAATTCAACAGTTTTTAATTGAATTCCTTCAAATTAATCGATAATTGAATGATTTTTAATTAGGTTTCTTAAAGTCAATGATTAATTAAAATATTTTTAATTAATTGAATAGGCTTATATTAATCGTTAATTAATTAAATTCGATAATTAATTAAAAAAGTAATTAATTACTCGCAATTCTGCACTACAAACGATTCGATCAACTGGCAATATTCAGGAGTCACGCGCGACGTCTCTCAATTAGCTTGCCGCCGCGTCAAAGACTGTTTATGATCGCTCTCGGCAGTTACGTATGTACAGGCACGTGTGTATTGTTCCCGAGATTACGTGACTTCCAGCCGGTAAGACACGCTTCAGAGCACCGTTACGTTGTCGATTCATTTTTATACTGTCCATATCGTGATAATATATTTTGCATTATTTTATAATACTTGAAGGGATGCTGAAGTGGATGACAAACTCCAAAAAATGTCGATTACGTAGAGACGATCGTCATTACAATCACGCTATCTTTTTCATATTTTTGATACATACAGAACTTATACACATGCGCGTTGCTTTATTTTACTGTATTCTACGGAAAACATAACCATGTATGTATAGAAATCTTTCTGCAAACTTTTCCAAACTTGATATTCTTAAGCTTCTGAATTCAGATGCGAAGGTACAGCAATATTCTTCAAAATTGTTCTTTTTGGAGCACTTTCGGTATGTACAAGCTGCGGAACTTTTGGATTAGGCAAATATTACGCTGACTGACAACTTGAGATTTTACATTAAAAATTTTTTTTCGTTTCGTCACATATTGAGCAATGCTTCTTTTTATTTTTGCACATACTTTCATTACGTAAAAACATTTGTAATTCTGGATAACTAACACGACGTAAACTTTGCAAAAGAATGCTAATATTCTGTTGGTTTCCAGCAGTCCTTTTTCCAGTTGATTTCAGCATTCCCTTAATCTCTTAATATTTCATAGTGCTTAATCCTTTGATATTGAAACCGTCGAAACACGACAAGATAACTCGTGCTTGTTGAGGTATGTGGACGAATCGTGGTTTGTTTTACCAACATGCGTTGGTCTGGCCGCGTTGTAATTACTCAGGAAGAAGATTCCCAACTTTCTCATTTTACGCGGCATCAAGGGACAATTGCGAGATTAAGTCGGCGGAGAGGAAGATAACCGGTGCGACGGGGCATGCACACACGTATGAAGAAGAAAATCTTGCAGTGAGAAGTTAAAATTGTAATTTCCGCGCTCACGCGGGAGAGGTGTCGTTGACACTTCGCGATGGTACGCGCGATAAAGCCGTCGCCTTCGCTTTAAAGTTTCACCGGCATCGTATCCTTCTTAATTACCAAGTGTGAAACCGCGGCGTAAAACACACAAGGTAGCACCGTTCATTTACTACGTAAAGACGGTTCTCGCCGTACACGCCTGCTGGTTGGTCCACGCGGTTTACGTGACTATCTCCGGGGATAGTGGTCGGGTGTTTCGATTCTCCGCCTCCCACGTGAGCTGAAATAACATTTCTCCCCCAACAATTTGAACTCTTAATCCTTTAGCTACCAACGGGACGTGCATGTGTCCCGGGACATATATTTTTTCCCACTATTTTTCTCACCATAACCTTATTCAATTGAATAAACAGCTTTTTTAATATTCAGATTATATTAGCTATCATACATTTATCGCGTCGGGATATGCTTTCCCAAAAACCACAGTCGCAGGAACATCAATGTCCTGGATTAATCCCTTTGACGCACCGAATATAAAGCTTTTTTTCTGCTAAAACTACGTTAAATAAAAAAACTACTATAAATATATTTAATGAAATAAAAGAAAGAAAAGTTTGATCTTTAAAAAACGAAACTGGTTGAACAAAAGGGTTAGAACATGACAGACGGGTGGACATGACGAACTCAGTGCAGCGAGAAAATGGCCGGGAAATAGAAGCCGCTCGGCGTGGCGGATTATCCGCTCCTTTCAACGAAAACCCCAAGCGTTCCTTTTTGCGAATTCGCCATTATACTACGCGCGATGGAGTGTGTGTATATATGTGTGTGTGTGTGTATGCGAAAATTATTAATGAACGGCACGCCATCAGCTTCGCCATTTTTTATCACCGTGAAAGTCGTGCAAGGGATGTAAATCAAGTTGGAGAGAGTATTCAGCCGCTGGTAGAAATCGTATTCAGCCACATTCTCTATTCCGTTATAAATACAGCTCTCGCTGATGTAACGATTGCTCGCAATTTCGTAAATGA